TCAGAGATTGGAAAACTCTGATGCCCTAATCTGTTTATCCAACAGGATACAACAATTAGGGATGGTGGTAACACATACACCAATGGTAAGTATTGGTAGGAATCCCACCTATATCATGGTCAACAATGTTACACCCAATAGTGTTACTTTACCAAAAGGAACATTATTAGGTCTAGCATTGGATGCTGAGTACTATACATTTGGTTTCCAAAACCAAATTATAAGCCTCATCCCTGAAGAATACTTAACTGAGGACGAAATTGTCGATCAAATATTCCATTCCTCCCCAGAAGGATTATTCACTATCCTATCTGTATATCCCTTCAACGTTGAAGAAGGCTCGTGTAAAATCGAAGAAGCATCAATCACCTTCGATCATCCGCTCAATGAGCAGGAATCACAAGAGTATCACGACCAAAGAGAAAAGGTAAGTCAACACCAAACTGACCTAACTTCTAGGCTTGAAGAAGCGTATGAGATAGGCCAGCCTGAAATCTTTCCAGGATTTCAGGAAAGGCTAGAAGAGCAAATATCTTTAGCTGACACTTGCTCCAACGATGCTGAGCGACAGCAGCTAAAGGAAATCCTTTTGGAATTCCAAGATATTTTTGCCAAAGATTCCTACGACTGTGGGTTAACTAACCTCCACGTAGCCAGAATACAAACTGATCCAAATTTACCACCTGTATTTATCAAACAATATAGACTCCCATTAGCGTCATATGATGGTCTACAAAACATCATTCAGAATTTAAAGGAAAGGGGCATTATACGTCCAGTGCACAGTTCGTATAATAATCCGATCTTGGGGATTCTGAAACCTAATGGACAATGGCGTTTATGCGCTGACTTGCGACAGCTAAATAAACGCGTCTATATGTCTGGTTGGCCAATGCCATACATAGACCAATGTTTGGTACAAATGCAGGGATCCAAAATATTCACTGCCATTGACTGTGCGCAGGGATATTGGACTGTACCAGTCCATAATGAAGACCAATACAAATTTGCCTTCACATTTGGAAAGCAGCAGTATACCTGGACCCGTATGCCTTTCGGTTACATAAACTCTGGTCATGAATTCGCTGTGTTCATGCATAAAGCTATGCCTGACGCACTCGAGAGAGGAACGTTATCATATGTCGACGATGTCTTGCCGAAAAGCACTTCCTTTGATAAGCATATCATAGAGATTAGACATGTTCTCACTCAGTTAAGAGAGGCAGGGATTAAACTGTCTTTACAAAAGGCGCAATGGTGTCGCACCCATGTCAATTTCCTCGGACATGAGGTAACTTCTGAAGGATTAAATCCCAGAGGAAGAAGGTTGAAGCCGTACTAAAGGCTAAAACACCTTCAAACATCAGGGAATTAAGATCGTTCCTTGGTATGACTAACTACTCCCGTAAGTTTATAGATAACTATGCAGAAATAACAAACCACTCTTACACCTGCTTAAAAAGGAAACTACCTGGAACTGGGGGGAGCCTCAGGACCAAGCGGTAAGTGAACTGAGGAGGAAGCTCACTCAGGCACCCTGTTTAGCATACCCAGAGGGGGGTAAACCCTTCTATCTGGAGACAGGATATACCGATTTAAGCATAAGTGCTGTTCTGTATCAGAAGCAGGACAGTTTAAACAAAGTTATTGCATATGCTAGCAAGACTTTGTCACCTGTTGAAGTTAAATTCAACACGTGTGAGAAGGCGTTATTGTCGACTGTCTGGGCACTACAAAATTTTCGTAGCTATATCCAAGGTGAGAAAATAATTGTAGAAACAGCTCACCAACCTCTACAGTATCTGCAGAGTGAAAGAATTAGAGACGGTAATCTCTCTAACAGTCGGATTACTGCATGGACTCTATCCTTACAGGGATGGCCGTTAGAAGTCCGTTATAAACATAATAAGAGAAGCCCAGTTGCCCAAGGTTTAGCAGAATTACATGACTGTACTGCTCCATCTCTGGATGATAATGACACCAGAGATGACTTCCTAGAAGAGCAATTGCTATCCCCTTATAAAGTTTATGACGAGGAATACTGTCGACCACTACCGTGGGTATACATTGATGGTTGTTCATATCACCACGTCGCTGGTGCTGAACGGAAGTTAGTTGCAGGTATCGGAATCGCCTGGACAGGTGATTATCCCAATGTATCTATAGGATACAATATTGGTCCCAAAAGCAGTCAGATAGCCGAACTCTGTGCAGTATATAAGACCATTCAAATGGCAATAGAATATGGTATCAAAGAATTTGTTATTATAACTGATTCCAACTATGTTCGCAACAGTTTCGTCGAATATCTGCCTAGCTGGAAACGTAACCAAATGCTGAAAAGTAATAACAAACCTGTTAAACATGGGAAATTGTTTTGTAAAATCGATGAGTTGGTTAAGGAAAATGGTTTAACCATATATTGGAAGAAAACCAAAGGCCATTCTAAAATAGAAGGTATTGACAAGGATGGTAATGACTTAGCCGATTCACTGGCAAAACAAGCTGCCATCAATGGTGAAACCCTAAACATTGATGATCTTATGGGTTCAATTCATGTTGAAGCCATAACTAGACGACAGGCTAGAGATAATGCCGACTTAAATGTCGTGCAATGGAGTCAAGAAGCTCCTAGTGAGGACCTGATTACTAGTCAAAAGAATTATCCCGTCATAGGTATATTCTATAAACATATAGAAGACCCTACTGCCAATCCCATCACAGATGAGGATTGCAAAAATAATGAAGATTTACGAATCTTGATGAGATTTAAAGTCCAATTTAGTATCATGGATGGGTTGCTGGTCAGAACTTCTAAACATGGTATACAACAATGGGTAGTCCCAACTGTATACAGAGGGTTAATGCTCCAACACGCACATGATGCACCTACATCTGGGCATCGTGGTGATAAGATCACATATGAGATATTGCGTGATTATGCATATTGGCCACACATGTTAAGGGATGTTAAGACATACTGTCAGGGATGCTTGATTTGTCCGCAATATCAACCCCATGGTCCAACCCATCGTGCACCACTTCAGAAGAGGGGGGTGTCATTACCCTGGTCTGATATTCAAATTGACTTTATAGGTCCTGTAACAAGATCTTCAAGAGGTAACAAATACATGTTAACCGTTACATGTATGTACACAAAGTGGATAGAATGTTTGCCTTGTAAAGAGAACACGAGTACCGTGTGCGCCACTTTGTTGATTAACCATGTCTTTTCCAGGTTCGGTCTGCCTCAAAGAATTGAGTCAGACAGAGGTAGTCATTTTACCAGCGAAGTAATGGCTAAGATGTGGAACATTCTAGGTGTTAAACGAAAGCTACATATTGCATACCGCGCTGCGTCTAGCGGGGGGGTAGAGCGATATAACCAGTCTATCGTTAATATTCTAAAGAAATATGTTAAGGAGTCTGGTAAAGACTGGGACATTAAATTGCCCCTAGTTTTAATGGCGATTAGAGCTACACCTAGCACTGCTACCAAATTGTCACCTTTTGAATTGATGACAGGAAGAAAGATGGTTTTACCACAGCATTTACTATATCGTACTTCGGATCATAACTTGATCAATGCTGCCACTACGCATCAGTATATCGAAGATTTGCGCAAGCATTTACAGCATGCATTTGCTTTTGCCCAAAAGAATCTAGAAAAAGCAGCGACAGGGGTTAAGACCTATTACGATTTAAAAACCACGAAAAAGGAATATGAGATAACAGATCAAGTCTATCTGTATAACTTTGCGCGAAATCAAGTCAAGGAAAAGAAATTTTTACCTTCTTGGAAAGGGCCATATGTCATTATTGACAAAATTTCCCCAGTAGCGTACAAGATAAAAATTCCTAAGGATGGTGATTTTATTGAAAAGTGGGTTCACATTAACCAGTTGCGTGCTTGTCATCCTAAATCTCAATTAAGGATTATAGGTGTGGATTCGGACGCAGAAGGGTGAACGACTAACCTGGATGAATGCTTGATTCACGTGGTATAGTATGATGTGAAATGTTGTGATGTGCCATGATCTCATGTACGTTCATGTCATTAACCATTTCCTTGCCATCCAATAACTACATTTTATAAGCAGGTTACTAGCTTGTTTAACTGCTATAGGCAAATTACTGAAGAGTCAGTAATAAATGTAGTGAGGGATGAAGTTATAAAAATAGAATTAGAGAGAATACACATGTTGATGAATCGTAATAATGTGTTGTCCTAGGCCAAGTGATGTCACACTGTTATAAGTTTGTATGCTTAACAAACCTTGAATCATTAGTAGATAAGTCTGAAACGAGTTCCTGATCCGTGACTGTCGAAAAATGTCCAAGAAGGATGTGGCGTGTTTCTGGATCGTACTGCTCCTGTGCCAAGAGCTACGGACCGACCCGATCGCAGAGATGGGACCATCCTCCGGCATCCTGATTCAAGAGACACCAGGGTTCATCTTGACAGAGAAGAGGATCCTGACCCGACGCGTGTTAGTCAGCTTGGACCCCAAGATTTCCATCGAGAAGGCATACAACATTTCATCGATGCAGCTTCCTGAGTTACAGACTTGGTACCAGATGCACCTCCAAAGAGCACAGGACCGTGTGCAAAACATCTTGGAGCAAGCCCGGAAACCATTTGTATCCAGTTCTATTCCGATGAGCAACAGACCCAAAAGGTTCCTCACTGCTATAATTGTTGCATTAGTTTGTGCCACTGTCGGTGCAGTTGTCGCAACTGGAATGTCTGCAGCCAACTCTATTACTGTCCAAAGGTTGGGTATGGAAATCTATGCGCTAAAGCAACACATTAACGATATTCATCAGGTGATACAACAGCAAAGAACACTTCTCCAAGACGTGTTAACTATTGTGGAAGACACAGTTGTTACAACGAATTTGCATTCGGAGTTAATTGCCAAATCCACTGAGTTGCACCAAAGTCATGACTTATTTAAGCGTGAACTTCTATTTCTACATGACCCAATATTGTTCCACACACTTGTTTTTTTTTTGACGAAGTGCAAACTGGAATGATCGAATTGGCAGGGGGACGCATACCTCTGTATTTTGTATCCAAGGATATTGTTCATGCGATGCTTGCCAATGTGGATGGAGAAACAATTGAGCCTATGCAATTAAATCTGGCCTTTGAGATGGGGAGCGCTATACCTCTCTTAATTGATCCGGAACGTATGGAGATTTGCTTTTTATTGGCCATACCATATGTAACTCCCAAAGACATTTTTCAAATGAAAACAATGTACTATGATAATAATGATATTATGGTTGATTGTACTAAGTGTAAAGTTTAAAACTTTTACAGGTACAAATATATACAGAAATGTTCATTCCACGCACGGGCCTATGTTAGAAATGATGTGATTGCACAATATGTCTGATAACTTCTATAGTGCTTATTCATAAGCTAAATAAATTTTGGCTATGAAATGCACTAAAGGGGGGTTATGTCAGGGTATTTATATCGGCAGACATTTTGTGCTATGATAGAAACTAAAAGTGTATATTTTGAGTCACTCTGAACAGACCAGACTCCATTTTGTTATTTTCAAGCTAACAAAGAGACACAAGATTTCTATCTGTAAAACTACCCATTTTTGCAGAGCTAAAGGAATGCATACTATAATCAAACCAAGTGATAAGAAGAAAGGGGGTTGGACAGACTGTCTAATGCTAATGGAAAAGATCAATTCTAAACCCAGACATTTGTGACAGAGAAGATTAAATAATTTAATTATACTGTCTAAATATATAAGGTCCCATTGTAAGTTATGGGTCAAAACTCAGATTTGCCAGACACATAGTCTGGACAAAACTTAAGAAACCCATTGAAATTTTAAGTTATGGCCACTATCTAGATAGGCCAAAATGACGTCAAAATAGCCACCAGGAAAAGTTAACTCTTTCCTGGATAGGTATGTTTAGTGGGACAAGACTGCCCTCTATAGACCAAATACCTAATTTGCGATCTGGAAGATAACCACACCTCTAGTGCTTCTATTGGGTTATCAACTGATGACGTACAGAGAGTCTGGCCCTTTAAAAGTTAAGACAAAGGGAAGATAGATATGCAGGGATGCAAGGGATGCAAAGGAGAAGGAAAAAGAAGAGAGAGGAATTGGAAGTTTGGGGACTCCAACCTCCATGCAGAGAGACATCCAAATAAGTTCCTGAGACTACCAATCGGATGAAATATCTACTCAACTGGTAATTATACTGGTTTCATTTAATTAATTAAATTAATTAAAATGTATTAATAGCATTATATATGACTGGATAAAACATGGTCAGATTTCCATATTAAGAAATCTTAGTTAACTAAGAATATATAGTTATAAACATTCCATTCTGCAGGTGGAATTAAGAATAATTATATATTAATGTGATATTATCACGTGTTAGCATACCGCTGTTTTTATCCAGGTGTATTGATTTGCTCTAAATTAAGATAAGATATCTTTTAGACAAATTAAAAACAAACTCTGCTCATAAAATATGGTAGATTCTCTTATTGGATGGTTCCAGGAAATGACTAATGAATTGGTTTAAATGTTATTTTATTTAAAATTACATAAGAATAGATCTTAACTATTTAGGAGATCTAGCCAGCATTGAAAGGGTTATTCTAACTGTCAGCTAAACTTTACGACCTTACGCTGCACTCTGAGGAATTCTGTTCTTCGCTGTGAAAAGTTTCACTTTCAATCTGTGTTAAGGATACCTCATAAATCATCAGAAGTCTTGACAGATAATGCTATTTAGCCATTGAAACGTAATACCCATTCCTTTGTATTGCATATCATTTTATACTGGATATTCATTGATTATTGTCACGCATGTTACATATTATTATTATTAATTAACTTGTTATTATAAATAAAATCTATTTTTATACATTGTGAATATTATTTATATGAAATACTTTCACTTACGATAAACGTTCTTTGGGATCTGAGAATTGAATTAGTGGGCAATTCTCAACTGTTTACTATTATTATCCCATAAATATCCCCACAGGCCACCTCCCCTACAGCCACACCCTCAGGTGGGCTGCAGAGTTGTCTCAGGCAAGTACTGCCAAATATGCTTGGGATTAGTGTTGAGTTGTGTGTTTAGAGAACCTATTAAGTTGCTGAAACTTTCTTAAAGGAACACTATAGTCACCTAAATTATTTTAGCTAAATAAAACAGTTTTTGTGTATAGATCATTCCCCTGCAATTTCACTGCTCAATTCACTGTCATTTAGGAGTTAAATCACTTTGTTTCTGTTTATGCAGCCCTAGCCACACCTCCCCTGGCTATGATTGACAGAGCCTGCATGAAAAAAAAACTGGTTTCCCTTTCAAACAGATGTCATTTACCTTAAATAATTGTATCTCAATCTCTAAATTGAACTTTAATCACATACAGGAGGCTCTTGCAGGGTCTAACAAGCTATTAACATAGCAGGGGATAAGAAAATCTTAATTAAACAGAACTTGCAATAAAGAAAGCCTAAATAGGGCTCTCTTTACAGGAAGTGTTTATGGGAGGCTGTGAAAATCACAGTGAGAAGACGCCAGCGTCCATAGGAAAGCATTGTGAATGCTTTCCTATGAGACTGGCTGAATGCGCGCGTGGCTCTTGCCGCGCATGCGCATTCAGCTGAGGAGGAGGAGAGCTCCCCTCCCGGCGCTGTAGAAAGAGGTAAGTTTACCCCTTCCACCCCCTAGAGCCCGGCGGGAAGGGGACCCTGAGGGTGGGGGCACCCTCAGGGCACTATAGTGCCAGGAAAACGAGTATGTTTTCCTGGCACTATAGTGGTCCTTTAAACTCAGCCATCTCATAGCATAGAACCTTGTCTCATGTTTGTGGGAGAAAGCTATAACTGCTCTCTCTCTCTCTCTCTCTCTCTTCTGCTTGGAGTGCTTAATCACTAGCTCTTTTAAGAGCTGTTCCTGCTCTGCTCTATAGCATCCCTCCCACTAGGGGGGAAAAGTACATCCCTGGCGGGGGAACTCCTCTTCTCATCGGGGAGGAAGGCTTTACTTTATGGTAGGGATATCAGTGACAATGTGCACAACTCTCATGGATACCACCAAATTGCCCCACTACCTGTTTCTTTGCATCTCGTCCGCACTCTGTCTTCTTCTCTTGCTCTTCCTCTCACTAAAACTTTCAACCTCTTCTCTGGCATATTTCCATCACCCTTCAAACATGCAACTGTAAACCCGATTCTGAAAAAGCCCAACTCTTGACCCTAACTCACTGTCCAACTACGTCCCTATCTCACTATTGCCTTTTGCATCCGAGATCCTTGTGTATGGATCTTGGACTTGTGTATGCAAGATTGATAGACTTCCTTGAATCCAACTCTCTGCTCGACCTGCTTCAGTCTGCTTTCCTTGCTTTGCTTGATCAAAGTATCCAATTATCTAATCGCATCAAAATCACGTGGTCACTATTCTTTACAAATTATCACTGATCTTTCTGCTGCTTTTGACACTATTGTTCATCAACACCTTTTTCTCTTCCACCTTTATCTGTGTCCATGATATATTATTCTCTCCTGGTGCTCCTTTTATGTCTCCCACCGCTCTTTCAGTATTCTTTCTTTGGCTCTGCCTCTTCCCCCCAACCTCTCTCTGTTGGTGTTCCCCAAGGTTCAATCCTTAGTGTGAGAGACCCTCTGCCCTGATATTTGAAGTTTAAACATTTTGTTTGTCTAACCGTTCGAATGGAATAAAATCTGTTTTATTTTATCATTGGCCATTCGAATAACGAAATATAACGACCGACCACCCAGACCTGGAGCATGGCGCTAGTTAACCTCATTGACCTTCTTAACACCGTAACATTCTAAATGGTCGACTGGGTAGTCGGCATTCATATGCACGAACATGTGGAGGCAGCCATCTTGGGATACGAATGTGGCCAGCTGTGTTTTGTCGTAGAGTGCATGGAACTAAAATAGGACACTCGACGGCATGAACACCACTGGGACTTCCACTCCTCCTCCTGTTTGACGGTAATTACACTAATGGAGCGCAGTTTGGTAGATACAACCTACTGAACCAACTACACTCAATGCCTCTGTGTACAAACGGCCATGTTAGACTATTTGAATGTACTTTAACTGTTCAAAATAGACCGGCCGCACAGCCTAATTCTCTGGAACTATTTTGGGCATGAAACCATGCGTGCGGTCAGTCAAAAAGAGACTTCCAGCTAACTCTTGAACCCCTGAACTGATCTGGGTGATTTTTCAGTATGTTGTTCCTCCAGATCAGACCTATCAAGGGATGTATGTTTTATGAGGTTCCCATATGTTTTGGGGTGTTTTCAAAAATGTGTAAAAACTTGTCTTTTTTGTTTGGAGATAATTGAGTTGATACAGTAAATTATCTCCTAAGCAGAGGGGAGGGATTGTGTATCTTGTATGGGAGTGTCTCCATGTAAAACCCTGGTTGTATTGGTTGTTCACTTTGTGGCCCTGTGCCCAACAAGGTCCACCTGGGTGTCACCCTTGTTGGGAAACCTGCATAAAAGACCCAAAAGCCCAGCGGTGTCACCGACTGTAACCCCTGGTGAAAGTAAAAGGTACCATTCGCAGCATTTAAAGTGTTCCAGGAAGTAGATGGGGAAATCGATGGATATTTAGCCGATTTTGAACGGCAATGTGCACTACACCAGGTACCCCCAGAGGAATGGGTTAACAACTTGTCTGGCAAATTGTCAGGCAAAGCCAATGAGGCGTTTCGTGCTATCCCTACCGAGGACATCAACAACTATGCTACAGTGAAAGAGGCATTACTGTTTCGATATGCAGTGATCCCTGAGGCATACAGGCGATGGTTTAGGGAATCAAAGAGAAAAGGGGGGGGGGATTCATATACAGAATGGGCCTGCAACCCATACCGGACTGCATCGCATTGGGTGGCGGGTTGTCAGGCGGTAACGGGGAAAAAGTCCTACAGCTATTTCTTCTTGAGCATTTTCTGGATTTATTGCAAACAGTCCTGAGGGAGTGGGTACG